TTATATTGTGTCTAAAATTAATTTTGATCCACAATGAGGAGATTTATGAAGACTAACAATTCACAAGTAGTATTAGAAATCCGGCTATTTCTATGAAACAGCACATATTAAGCAAAAACACAATTAAAAATAACTAATTTTAAAGAATCCTATTTTTTTTTTTAAAAAAATCAAATATTGCATAAAGTGAGTCAGAATTCATAGCCTCAAAACATTGTCAGTGACACTAAAATATCACCTCTGCTACTGAGGTCAGCTGTTGAAGTCTGGCTAAGTACAAGCTGAACTCTGGACATCTGCTGACAGAGTTGTAACTCAAACATCTCAACCATCTGACTGACAAGGATAACAGATGCTGACATTATCAAATGCTACCATGGTCTTTCCACAGTCACTTTTTGCCCTGATATGGCCAGTACATAAAACCAATGCCATCCAAGAGAACGTCTGAGCAGCTGGACCAGTACAACAGTTTCCATATAACTGATAAAAATAGACACCAGTTTTATAGCTGCCTTAAGTGCTCAAGTACACACCACACACAGTATCTATTAAAAACAAATGATAAAAGTATTCTTAGAGAAATCTCATCATTACCACCAGCAGTAGATTTTGCAACAAAGCAGGGTACAAATTTAATGTATGAATTATTAATATATATCCTAAATTAATACTGCCCCCTCTTAATACTGCTCAACATTGAAAGGCATCCAAATATAATACTATTTTATGACATCTACAGTCATTTTGAACCAATCTTTCATTAATCAAAATGCACACATTATCTGATTTTAAAAGCTATTTGAAATAATCTCATTTATAAAAAAAACAACTGCATACAACATGTACACTGCTACATGGAAATATTAAGCAACTTATACCTGTAAACTAGGAAAAAATTACAAAAATGGTAAGCTTTTTTAAAAAGCCAAACCTTGCTCCTCCAGCTTTCCATAATCATCTTTCTATCAGCAGGAATTATAATCAGGAGCAATAGCTGTTTAAATATATATTGCTGCACTAATCTGTTCCCACTGAGTGATAAATACATTGCTCAGTCAAAACAAAGGATTGCAATTGTAAAACTCAAAAGTCAAGGAAGGAACTTAATTGAACATTGTTGCATTAATGTATCATTAAAATCTATGAATAAAAAATAGAAAGTGAAGGATAAATAAATATTGCATCTTATATGTTTGGTGTATGATAGTATTTGAAGTTCTATTCTCTCATTATGGGAAACCATTTCAAATTCAAAACTGTGTATTTGTAAGAAGTGATGATAACTAACAATTTTAGTTATACAATTTCTTTCCCTCAAAAAATTAAAATTTGTAAACAAATATTTATTTACATAATAAACTGTTATTAATACCATTTGTATGCAGCTCTATGCTTCCTTAACGCCAATGCTTTGCTAAAGCTGGTAAAATGGAACCAAATCACCTGTTAAATGGATTTGGTCCCCTTCAACCAGCTGTAGCTATGTATTGATCACTACTGGACAAATACTTTCATCAGCAAGATTCTCTTTTTAAAAAAGAAGTTATGAAAAAAGACCAAGGAGTCCCTCTGCTCTTTAAAACCTGTGAACATAATTATGAACAAACTAAAAAAAATGAGGACCTATTCTGGGCAAGCCAGGAGTGGTTATTTCACTTCTAAAGTAATATATTAACAATTGTTCCACCTCTCCCATTGTTGTACAGCAAATATGAATTTGAAAAAGAATGGTTATGTTTATTTTCTATCACTTTCTTGAACATGTTTGGGGTTGTTGTTGTTATTTTTGCTTAAGGAGTTAACTGTATCAAAGCTTTCATGAAATAAAGTCAAAGTACTTAAAATGCTGTTTGATCCTGCTATTTCAATGATATTTTTCTTGTCTCATATTAAGATTAAAATTAGCATGCATTCACTAAAATCTTTTTTGGCCAAACAAGGTATTGAACTCAAAATTGTTTTCATCACCACAAATGCGAGATTATTTCACACAGTATTTGGTGACATTAAATAAATGTTCAAAATGGGATAATTCCATTATTGTGCTAGTTCTTCAGAAGATCACTGTGAAGAACATCCAGCAGCAAAAAGTACTACACCGAATTAGGTTAAAATGATAGTGGTACTTTGGTAGGATCACTACCATAATAATTGTGGGCAAACAGCCCTTCAATCTGCCTATAAACCTGTGGTACCCCATGAATCTCATTGGGTTTACTTAGGAAAAGAATACTCAGAGGTTTTTCTAATTCTTTATTCTAAAATATAGCCTACAGCACTTGGTATTCACTGGTAGTCTCCCATCCAAGTATTAACCAGGATCCTACCTTGCCTCTGAGATCAGATGGGATCTCGTGAGCCTTCAGGATATTTAGGCCATCATGATGTTAAGGTAATTGTGTAAAAAAAACAACAACACCTATATGCATATTAGGCTCCACCAGACCAGTTTGCACCTGCATTTATTAACACATACTTCTCATGCAACCCTAAATCCGTTCCAGAGCATTCCTCAACTATCTAAAGTACACCTGGCAGTCTGAAGAGAATAAGGACTTCATTGCAAATCAATAGTATCAAATAGAATCCTGAGATATTAATCACTAGTCAATGCTATTGCTCTTGTGCAGATGTGAGAAAAGATAAACCAAGTAATGAGTTTATGGTATAGAGACTAGGAAAAGATTTTTAGACAGATAGGAGGCATAGAGATAGAGATAGGGAAAAATTGTAACAGAGAGGACAATCAGACAGGGAAAAGAGCTGAGTAAGGTTTGGGGGAGTTACGAATGATCAAACAGTTCAGAAGTTAATGTGTGATCTTGCCAGAAAGATGAAGAATACTTGAGTTTTAACTAGGTATCATTTTGGTGCCTAGTTAAGTCCTGGCTCTTACTCAGTTTTTCAGCTTTTACTGACCCTTTATTACCACTGTTTTTATTGGGCTGTTATACTATTTTTATTTACTGACCTCAACTGATGGGAGTAGATCTAAATATATTAAATAAGTGAGTAAATGAACAAATGGTGCAGTGGGTTGTTGTAGGTTTTCGGGTTGTATGGCCATGTTCTAGAAGCATTCTCTCTAGACGTTTCGTCTGCATCTGTGGCAAGCATCCTTAGAGGTTGCGAGGTTTGTGCAAATACAAATGGTGCAGTATTTGCAGTGGTGTGAGCATTGGCCTATGGCTCCAAGGAACAGGATTCAAATCCCTGCTCTGTCAGGGAACCCCCTTGAATAACCTTGAGCAAGTCATACTCTTTTAGCCTCAGGGGAAGGCAAAGGCAACTTCTTCTGAACAAAGGTTGCCGAGAAAACCCCATGAGATGTTCACCTTAGGGCCACTATAAATAAAAAATAACTTTAAAACACATAACAAACAAAAGGCATTTGTTTTTTTGGTTTTGTTTTGGGGTTTGTTTTTTGTTTTGTTTTGTTTTGGGGTTTTGTTTTTGTTTTTGTTTTTTTGCTAATTTTGAGAACCAACCAAATCACAGACAGACTGTGGTATCCAATCTCAGCTGAAAGCGCGATTCATAATTCATCAGCTGAGTGCAATATCTGGTTTGTCAATCCAGCATCACATCACATAATAACCGATTTTTTTAATCAATTGGCTGCCATGTTTAAACTGACTGTCCCCAATTATGGCCAAATTTCAAATACATATTCTGCATACAGCTTGTTCAGCTCCAGGGATAACAGTATATTCGTTTCAGGCGAAAAGGTTCTGTCTGTCTACCAACGAACTATAAATGACACATTCTTAGCAATACTCTAAATTCAGTATGATTCAGATTCAGTCCTGACTCTGCAATTGGTTGTGTAGCAGAAGTAGTCATCTACAGCTGACTTTCTACACTGGTAATGCAAAAATGCCTATATGAAATATGAATCTTTCATGTTAACACTAGAAGAATGATAAGCTAGGGACACTGGTAAGTGGCACACTTAAGTGCTCTGGTCAATCAACAGCGTACAAAAAACAAACAGTAGCATTGGAGTACATTAGAATAGCTGTACAAGTTAAGCATCTTTTATCCAAAATACTTGGGATCAGAACTGTGTTGGGCTTCAGAATTATTTTGGATTTTGGAATCCCCGTATTTGCATAAACAGTATGTATATAATGAGATACTTTGGAGATGAGACCAAGTTGAAATATGAAATTAATTGTTTCATATATATCTTAAACATATAGCCTGATGGCAATTTTATAAAATATTGTTTAATAATTTTGTAAATGCAGTCAAGTTTGTGCACACTGAAATATCAGAAAGCAACAGTATCACTATCTCAGACACTCATATGGACAATTTTGGATTTTGGAGTATTTTGATTTCTTCATAAGGGATACTCAACCTGTATTATGTGGATTAGGTTCTATATCTATATTCCCACTGAGAAGGATAGATAGTCTGACACATCTCAGTGGTCCCCATGTTATGGATGGCCTTTGTTATGTCACTGATCTCTTGAACAACAGCACAATATCTTAACCATTACAAGGAAATGCCACTTTGTGCAGCTGTGTAATAATTGTAGCCATTGTTTTGCAAAAAAAAATTACGTATGGAAGATCTTTCACCATATTATAGTAATTCTCTCTATAATCCTTCACTATTTAATCTAGTAATAAGAAATGCATCAATAAGAAAAGAAATATGAAGCTTAAGACACAGAAATTTGTTATCAAAACAATTTACAAATGTTACAGCCATAGAAAGATATACCAATATTGCGCCATATAATAGCCATCACTACACAGCCCACCGAGAAAGGATGATAATGGCATGAAAAGCCATTACCTATTACAATTATTTATCTAATTCTAAACCAAAGTATTCACCACATGCAACATTCTTTGATGCTAATATTAAATACACATCAAGGAACAGAAAAACTACAATATTTGAGTTGTCTTCTCCATAATTGTTTTTGTTCCTAGTAGCTACATCGTTTACCAAATCTCAGGAAGAAGAAATGTGTACAATACCTTGGATTCCCTCTCAGGGCTGCATGGTGGAGAGCGTTAAATCCATTGTTGTTTGTAATAGTAACGTCTGCTCCAGCTTCTAGAAGTACTGCCAAGATGTCATCACGCTTTTTGCTTATTGCATCATGAAGAGGTGTATCACCCTCAGAGTCCTGAAATAGGCATTAATTAATTATTTTTAAAACTTATTCTCAGAAAAACAATTTGCGTTTTTAAGGCTAAGTTTCTTCATTTAGGTTAAATATATTCCCTTGGATAAACCCTTGGGTAGCCATTATTATAAAACATAAAGCACATGTTTCATTCAATCAAAGCAAGACAAATTTTGACTTTTGACAGAATACTGTAATGCATGTATATTCGAAATAGTGAACTACTGTGTCTTCACAGAAAGTGCCTGCTGAAACTGAAACAGATATGGGTGAAGGTCTACTCTGGTTCTCCTTTTGATGTGATTCATTTAAAATGTGCAAAATTACCAATTAACATAGTGGAGAAAAGTCAAGATTTTGAAACTGAAAGTATGGGAGAAATCACAACAGTGTTTTGAAAGTTCAGTTCTTTCAAAGTCTCTGAAGTCCTGGCAGCTAAATTAGAGCTGCCACCTGTTTTTTCTAATAGGTGCCTCAAGTTTAAAGCTACATAGCAAGCAAGCACAATATTGTCCTTTCCACATGCAAACAGCATTCTAAAATTCTACTGAAATTGGTTAGTGCAGAGGCTTGTGAATTTAATTCTGTTAATATTCTGTAAAAACATCAACATTTTTGTCATACACATAATAGAAAGAGTTTGAGATCAGAAAGTTCAAATCTGGACAAGGAAACTCATATCCTCTGAAGATGCCATCCACAGATGCAGGTGAAACATCAGGAGAAATTGCTGTTAGCACACAACCATATAGCCCGGAAACCACACAACACTACACTAACATTACTATCTAAACCCTGGGTACATTCTTGCAAATTCATATGTGCATATACAAAATGCTATACCAATGTGTTCCATTACCACTGAATCCACCAAGAAAAGACAGGTCCCTAAGATTACAAAGAATGTGTCATCTGTGATGTAAACTGAACAAAGGGGCAAATGAACTCACAATAGCAAGATCAAGCCAAACCCAAGAAATGTTGGCAAGAGATCAATGTTATGGCTTTATATGCTTACAATTTCATATAAATGCACATAGCAGGATGTTACTTGCAACTATCAATTAAACAGTAAATTTGAGCAAGCTGGCAAAACCACCTGAGTATTACTTGCCTACAAAGAATCCTAAGAAAGTCATGAGGTTGCTATAAGTCGCACAGGTTACTTGAAGACATATACAAAAACAGTATATTTAATGGCAGACATTATTTATTACTTTCTTGTTATACACATACTAAAATATACCACATTTCCAAACATTCTTCAGTAATTAAACCTCAGTTGTTAAACGCAGCGCCCAAACACGAATCAAGGAACATGAAAGGCATTGCAGACTACTTCAACGAGAGAAGTCAGCCATAGCAGAGCACCTGATGAACCAGCCTGGACACAGCATATTATTTGAGAACACAGAAATGCTGGACCACACCAACAACCACCATGTCAGACTACACAGAGAAGCCACTGAAATCCACAAGTATGTGGACAATTTCAACAGAAAGGAAGGGACCATGAAAATGAACAAAATCTGGCTACCAGTATTAAAAAACTCTAAAATTACAACAGCAAAACAGCAGAGAGGAAACAACCAGGCACATCTTAACACCCCTCAACAAAAGGTTTTCCCAGGCTCAGGCAGGCCTTCAAATGCTAATGAAGGTGGTCAGCTGAAACAGTCACACCTAGCTCTAGCAGAGAAGAGCTCTTTGCCCCCCCAGCCATTCCACAGATATATAAACCCATTGTCCTAATTCCAACAGACCTCACTACCTCTGAGGATGCTTGCCATAGATGCAGGCGAAACGTCAGGAGAAATGCCTCTAGAACATGGCCCTACAGCCCGAAAAAACCCACAAGAACATAGTGATTCCAGCCATGAAAGCCTTCGACAATACATCAGTTGTTAAAGTTACTGACAATGAGGATTGGGGGATTCCGGGAGATATTGTCCAATCAAGTAATTTTAACACATTTACACATTCAACGGCAAACAACAATGGGAGTTACCTGGAGGCTAGGATGGCAACCAAAGTCTAGTAGTGTCTTTACCACTTGGAGATGACCCTTATTCACAGCAATGTGAAGAGGTGTCTGTCTACGTTTATTGCGAGCATTGAGATCTGCACTGCCTCTGTGCAAAACCTCTATCACAGCTCCTTCATCTCCAAAAGCTGCATGATGAACAGCCCTGTCGCCGTCTTTGTCCTAGAGATTAATATTCAATAGAATTAAGCACATTACTTTTATTCTAAGCGATAGTTTTAACTTCTAAAAAATAGGAAAATGCCTTACATTCCGACATTATTAGTGTAATTAACACCCTAGTACTTCTATATTCATAAGTATATATGTGGATGTTGGAAAATGGAAAACATATCAAATATAATTCACTTGAAATTTATCTGCAGTAAAGAGTGTGCCTTTTTTGTAATACCTAAATATTGCAACCAGTTGTTTTGCTGTCATAATGTTCTACAATTATACATAACAGTCTGCTCAAATTTAAAGCCAATGCATAGGAATAGCACAACCAATAAAATCACATGCTCCCCCATTTTTGTGTATTTGACATTACAAATAATTGTTGCTAATTTTCATAAATAAAATGTATAACATCAAATTTTTGGTTTATTATTCTGACATCAGAGAAAATAAATAAGTTTGCATTTAAGACAATCAGGCCACTGGTGATTAAAAATAGGGAACCAGGTCAGTTCAATTGTTCAATATTCTAATTAAACAGTATCACTGATGAAAATGAAAATAAATAGGGAGATGGTAAGATTGTCCTTGTCCACAAGTTTTAAATAAATGTTTCACACACTTTAAGTGACTGTGTTTACCATTGCTGAATCCACAATAAGTTACTTCTATTAATATTAAATTTAGAAAATAAACATTAAGATACCTCTGCTTCTACATCCACATTTTGTTTCAGAAGCAATTTCAAAATGTCAACATGTCCATTCTGACTAGCAGCTTGCATAGCTGTGTGTCCTGCACACTGCCCATTCACCTGTAATACATGGTTAATCAAGTCAATGAAGCTTAAACACACGTGCATCATGAGAATTGCATTGTCATATATTCTAAAGGATATATTCAGTTAAACCGAGTCTTACTGAATCCCCTTTCCAGATTTCTGAAATCTAAAATACTCCAAAAAGATAGCAACACATTTGCTGTCTAACTGTTCGATGTACACAAACTTTTCTCATGCACAAAGTTATTTAAAATAATTATGTATAATACTATCTTTAGGCTATGTATGCATACGAAATATTTAGACATGGGTCCCATCTCCAAAATATCTCTTCATGTATTTATATGCATACAGACATTCCAAAATCCAAAAAAATAATCTGAAATCCCAAACACTTCTGATCCCAAGTATTTTGGATAAGAGAAACTCAACCTGTATTGCACTGATGATACATTTTACAAATATTTCTCTACCACAAATGTATTAGGATTCCTTTTCTAATATCTTATTCATTTACTAACTATGCTAAGTAATATAATTGCTCCTTTTAAATATCTAGGAAGAATTTAAAAATTTGGCGGTGGAAATTTCCCTGAATGAATAATAATAATAAATCCTTCAGTATTCTAAAGAAAGTATTATTAAACACTTTATTTATAACCCACCCACTCTCCCCAGAGGGAACATGATTAGATCTGAGTAAAGCAATATCCTATTATTGTAATATAAATGTTCATTACAATTTGGACTAAAAGATATAATCCAGAGCAAGACAAATTGTCTAAAATCGATAAAATATAGTCCCTTAACTCTCCTTTCCATGCCTTAACTGTGGATTCCACCATAAACATTCTTATACAGTGAACTAATTATACCAATTCTAAATCATATTCACCCATTGGCCAAATACCAGTAATGTTCAAAGCTAATGGAAATCGTGTATAAGCAACAAAATAAAAATAAACTGTAGAATACCAAAACCATCCAGATTCTCCCACTCAGTGTCATTAACTTTCTACCCCCTCACAAGAAAAGTAGGGAAAATTTTCCAATGCAATGCAATATTCCAAAACAATATTTTCCCCATCGAAACCCACCATTTTGTGCAACTTTTTAACACGATATATACACGCACACATATACACACATATATCTCTATCTACATTTATCCCTATCTGGATTGTTATACCAGAATCAATCTTATTTGATGTCCTGAATACAGCATAAGCAATTCTTGTTATTCTTCTAAGGAGACAAGCATCAACAACCCCTAGTGCTCAGACAAAAACACACAAAAATTAATGCCAGTTCTGATCCCCCCTCCCCCCAAAAACAACAACAACAACAACAACACATCATTGCCTTTCACTTGGTGCCACAGTTCTGGTAGGAAAAAATCTGAAATACTGATCTCTCTTAGATCTCAATTATGTGTCTCGTTTCTTCAAAAACTCTTGAGTAATGCTGGAAGCTCTCAAATTCATTTTGCGTTATAAGTTAGAAAATAAAATACTCACGTCCACATCTGGTCTCTTAAGCAAGTCTTCCACTTTGGCTACATCCCCATTAGCCGCTGCTTTAACCAGTTCTTCATTAAGATCCCCAGATTCTTGAGTTTCAAACAGTTTCTTCAGTAATTGTGACAATCTCTCTGTGATTATCAAAACAAATATTATCAGAACTTGTGTACATCAATGTTATTGCACTTGAATGAAGAAATCAATATTCCAAACAGTTTTTAAAATCATTTGTGATTTGTTATTAGTGTGTAAGTAATAACTGTGTTCAGAAATGTAGAAATACTTTCCTACCGTGGAAACAGAATACATAAAGAGATGTGGTGGAAGATTCTCACAATACGATTGATTATTTTATTTTATTTTGTTAATTTGCAGTTTGGGCAGATGAGAAAAGTTCACCAGTACATACATACAAGAGAGCAAAAATATGAGATAAAATGAAGACATATGAAAATCTGTGAAAAATGCAAAAGGTCAAAATAGAGGAATGTGTCAGAAGTGATGTAAGGACTATACAACACTTCAACTGTAAGCGGGATTTGTCTATTGGAAGCAGTAACAAGTAACAAGGAAACTAGAGGGGCAAGACAAGAGGGCATGAAGTGGATACAAGAGAAAAGTAGATGAAGACTGAAAAATCAGGGGTCAAGATCTGAGAGTATAGGAAAATACTGGTAATCTCTCTATCAAAACACTGTAGTTCTTTCAGTCATTACTCAATGAGTTCTGAATTACATGCTTCCTATCCCATCACCATTCTCTCCATGTTCCTTCTCAATGCAAATACATTTCAAACATAACCTTGATCAGAGAGGTAAAATTTCTAGAAAAATTAATAACAGAAAAAATGCAACTTTTCCTCTCCATATCACCTCAAGGATCTAGAAGGTAAAACAAAATAGTCTTGTAGGGTTTAAGGCTTTTCAACTTTTGCAGAGGTTCTGTGCCCCAAACCCAGTAAATCTGGAGTCTACTATATAATATTCAAACTATCCAGAAGTTTTTATCTGTCTCAGACTAAAAATCCAAAAAAGTGAACAGAAATGTTTAGTGACAATGTGGATTGACATATAGAAACTGTATTATATACTAACAATCTGTCTTTGCCCTTTTGAAGCAGCTTGCAATAACACAAAAAATAGTTGAAATGTGCAGCTTTCAAAAAATTAATTAGAAATATCCGTATACTAATAATTCCTTCTAATTAATTTCTCAACATATGAAGTACGCAACTACCTTTTCACTAATTCAAAGAACTGAATTTTTAAAATGAATTTTGTTGTTTTTTGGTTGGGTTTTTTTTTTTTTGCATTAAGGAAAAGTTTCTGGAAGTTTAACAAGATACTTTTTGTTGCATGTTATTATCTTAAAGACATTTTAAAAATTTCAAGTCACAAAGAGGGAATAAGATTCTAACTTACCACCAGATGCATTGCTTATAGCAGAGCCTGCTGATGCTACTTTTGACACAGCTGCTGGATTATATGTCCAAGAAGTTCCACAAACCTCTACCTTTAAATCACTGTCTGAATAGATCTGCTGGACCCTTCCAACTTTACCTAAAGTCTAAAGACAGATTCCAACACATATGATTTTGAAAAGCTGGATAACTACACTAATCTGCACTAATGTTGACACTTTTTTCTCTAGTTTGGCCAGGTTCTCCAGTTTGATCAAGCTATTTATTCATTATATTTATTTATATCCCTTTTTTGTCTTCATACGGAGACTCAAAGCAGCTCACAATTAAAAGCAAGGTAAAAGCTAAAAAGCTGTGTTGTGTGTAATTTTATAATAAATGTGCTTTTCTATTACTCATTTGTTTGGAAATACAATTTATTTTCTGATAATTTCAGACATTACATAAATTATTCTGATTCACTTCCCAGATCATTTCCTTTAATAAACCATCCACAGTTGAATTTCTCTGGAAAAAATGACATTAGGATGTTTTGAGAAAATCAGAACTGTATCAGTCTTTATAAATTTTAAATCAGCAAATCTGATGGGGTGGCTTAAACGGATCCTTTGTATGTTCCCTCACATTCACTCTCAGGCAGTCAAGATAGGAAGGGGATGAGGCAAAGAAGCACAATAGAGTGATGATGTGTGTTCCTCATGCTTGAAGGGGGATAAATGCAAGGATGGTGGGTGCATGTGTACATACTCATTCGTGCAGACAGGGGGTAGGTGATGGAGAACATGCGGGGGGGGGGGGGCTTGTGGATTCTCTGGAACACCTGCTTGAGGGGCGGAGATGAGATGGACGAGAACAACTAAGGAAGAAGGGTGTGCATGTGCATTCTCTTGCATATGTACTTCCTTCCTCCTACCCTAGTGAGTGAGGCAACATGTACACAGTTGAGCCGAGCCACCCCGCAATACAGGAACTTTTTTGAGGGGGAGTGATAAATATGATTTGGGGAAGCCTAAAGATATTCACAGGTTTTCCATATTTGCGGGGATCTTATACCTTAGTGGATGGAAGGCCAACTGTACTACAATAGTGTCCTCTCACACTGCCATTCCCTTTCCTTTTGTGTCATGTCTTACACTGTAAGCTTGAGGGAGGTAACTGTTTTGTTCTTTTATTTGTAAAAACTCATATACAATGATGGCACTATAGAAATAACTAATAAAAATAGTAAGACCATGTAGGTATCAAAACCAGACATGGATTTAGTACATTGAATACAAAAGGTTGGGGAGAGTACAGAATGTCTGTGTAAAACTGCAACAATAAAGTGAAATCCTAATTTTTCAATAACTTTTCACACTATGTTTATTACTTTCATCATAATAGCAATAGACGGGGAAACATTGCAAAACCCACCCACTCACCCAAAGATATAAATAAATTTTTCTCTCACTGTGCCCTGTATTTATATGGAAAGAGAAATCTCTTCCATGCCCTGTGGCACTGCCAAACTGAATTTTGAGAGAGATCAATATGATTCTTCTCCAGCATTTCATTCAACTAATAAACAAAATATCAAAACCAATAGTCCTGAAATGCTTTCATGGTTCTCTATTTACCAATGTGATGAAGTAACAAGTCTAACATTTGATCATCAAGCTTCTCTGAGCATATATTACTGGAAAAACAGTCTTCTATCTTCATAAATTATAACAAAACTTTATCCTAGGATGTCCCAGACCAAAACCATTAGAAAAGCATTTTAACATGAGTTCACAGGCAGGACAACTTTTAATAATTATGTTATTTATATAAATATAGAGGCAATTTGTGAGTGGTTCACAAACCAATACAACAGTAAAATAGCAGAAATGTATCAAGTTATCAAGTCAGCTCTTCCTCTTACCACAAATATAAATTATCTAATCCATGAAATTGTATAGTTAATTTAATCATATATTAATCTGAGGCATTTTTAGTATTTTTATATCAGATAAATAGAAGTATATCTATACACTTACAGGAAGCATTGCTTCAGCCCATTCACCATGTCCTCTTTGAAGTAACTTGATTCTTTCCAAGTCATAACAAACTTGGACAAGATCACCCACTTGAAATTGTGAAGTGCCGCCTTCAGCCCCTTGAGCAGCATCTCCACTTCGGACAACATTTGCTTTGGTCAGAACAGCAGGGTTAAAGGTCCACCTAGAAAAGACAAGTAACATGAAACATGAAGAAATGTAAAGTTTGGTATTTTAATGAACAGTATGTACTATGTAACTGAACTACGGACAGGCAATCCCCCCCCCCACCTGCCCCCGCATGCTATTATGCTATTTCACATTGAATGTTATAAGAAAAGTAAGAAGATTCAGGATCAACATCAATTTTAAAATTGGGATCTAGGGATCCAGACAATAACAGATGGAGTAGCGTAATTTCTGAATAAATAGTAAATACATTAAAAGGAACTGGAGTTTTGGTACTCCTGCTTGAATCATCTGGCACAATGGAATAACATACTAGTTGTGGACTACTTCTTCAGCTACTCCAAAAAGGACAAATCATGCCAAAAAATCTGTAGGGCTTTCATCAAAATAAGATCTGTATCAGAAATCTTTTAGAGTCTTCTGAGGGTTAATATGTAAATAAATAAGGAAGATCAGCAAGCTATTGTCAAAAGTTTTCTGAAATTCCAAATAAACAGAACCACATTGATTCCTGAGTGATAACAGTAATAAGAGGACAAAGTCCCTGCCTCACCGGTTCAAGCCTGCATAATCAGTGGTAAAATCTGTTGTACCTGGGATACTGATACTGTAAGCTGCTATGGGTTCTGTGTTGGGAGAAATGTGTGATATAAATCCACCAATAAAAAAATAGGAATAAAGGAACTGCAGGCAACTTATATCTGGGTCATTATCCCTTGCTCACCCCATTTTAAAAATCTGACTAATTCATGAAAGAATAAGAAACATAGTTAGAAATTAAGAGCTAGTTCTTATAATGAAACATTAGAAAATGACCACTCAAAGATTTGAACTGGTGCTCTGCACTAGTAAATTAACACTACTGAATATAACCCAGAACATTATTGTTTATTTCCAATTCAGTTGTCTAGACCAGTGGTTCCCAATTTTTGGTCTTCAGATGCCAGAATTTCACATGCTGGCAGAGAATTTTTTGAGTTGAAATGCAGATAGAAGATCAAAGGTGGAGAATCTCTGATTGAGGCTAAAGGAAATACTTTGGTACAAAATACAACTTAAACAAAGAATTTATTGTCTTGTATTCTATTTAAAGTTTAAAAGAACCAATTTTACTACGTTTATAGTACCTTTCTTGTTTTGGAATACAAAAGGAAACCAAGGAAAAGGGTTGCTGTAAGTTTTTCAGGCTGTATGGCCATGTTTCAGAAGCATTCTCTCCTGATATTTCGCCTCCATCTATGGCAGGCATCCTCAGAGGTTGTGAGGTCCTCTGAGGATGGCTGCCATAGATGCAGGCAAAACGACAGGAGAGAATGCTTCTGGAACATGGCCATACAGCCCAAAAAACTTATAGCAACCCTGTGATTCCAGCCATGAAAGCATTTGACAATCAAGGAAAAGTTTTGAACACTAACCAAACTCTAAGAAAAAAAATGCCTCCAAAATACATGAGCTTAACATACCTATTGCCACTTGGGTACTGTACAACAATGTCATGATCTTCATCTATGCCACATACTGTGCCAGTAGTAGTTAAGGTTTCAAACATTCCATCAGTCCATCCTCCATGGCCATGCTGCAAAGACTGGACAATTTCTAAGTCAAGATCAATGTTTACCAGATCACCAATCTGCAGGCCACCTGGATTCCTGTTACCATTTTGTTCACCTAAGGTTGGGGAAGGGGAGGTAAAATATGATATTTTAAATAACCGAATATACCTTATAATAAAGGAACAATGAACTCAACAAATAACAAAAAGAAACTACAAATTTGCTTATGCAGACAAACAAATTATGAGTTCAGTGAGGTAGTGTAGTTATTTATCAGTATAATGTAGCTACACGTGCAGCCAGTAAGTATTTAATTTAGATCTAACACACATATGTCGTATGGACTGGAAACCATTATCTATGGTAATCTCTAGAGAGAATATAACAATTACTCTAATGTATGGCTTGCAAACCATACAGACGAATTCTCAGACTTCAATATATCTTGCAACATATAAAACTAAGAAGATACATGCTGAATTGGACAATCTTGACCTACGTTCTGTTCACAACCTATCTAATAAATTGCCTAGGGAGGTGTGCCAGCGAATGAGTACAGATGTACCTTCGTTGCACAAACCCCAACTCCTGATATATAAAGGCACAATGCTCCTGATGTGGAAGGTGACATACAATGATTCTGACTAGCTGCCACATATTGACCCATCTTCCATAAAGCTATCCAATCATCTTTCAAATTATCCAACTTGGAACTCAGCGCTCCATTTTAATAGAATTCTAGAATTGGAAAACACCACAAGAGCAGTGCAGTCCGACTCATGCTATGCGGGAACATACAATCAAAGAACCCCCAAGAGATGGCTGTCCAGTCTCTGTTTAAAAGCCTCCAGAGAAAAAAGACTCCCACCGCACTCCAGGGCAGCATATCCCACTGTCAAACAGCTCCTACTATCAGGAAATTCATTCTAATATTTAGGTGGAATCTTTTTTTCCTGCAATGCGAATCCACTGCTACATTGTGTCTTAGTATCTAGAGCAGCGGAACACAATCTTGCCTTCACCTCAAAGTGACATCCTTTCAAATATTTAAACATGGCTATCATGTCTCAAGTCTCAGCCTACTTTTCGTCAAGCTAAATATTCCCAGATCCCTAAGCCATTCCTCATAGGGCTTGGTTTCCAAATCTTTGATCATTATGGTTGTATTTCTCTGGAAACATTCTAGCTTTTCAATATATTGCTTGAATTGTAGTGCCAAGAACTGGACACAGTATTCCAGATGAGGTATGACCAAAGCAGAATGGAGTAGGACTATTACTTTCCTCAATCTAGACACTAGGCTACTATTGATGCAGCCTTGAATCGCATTGTCTTTTTCAGCAGCCAAATCACTGTTAACTCATGTTCATTTTGTGGTCTACTAAGACTCCTAGATCCTTTCCACATGTGCTGTTTTCCAGTTACCCACCTTATATCTGTGCATTTGATTTGTATTGTCTGTGTAGTACCAAAAATGTCTCCCTGTTGAAATCCATTTTTTAAGTTCTGACTCAGCTGTCTGGCGATTTTCAAACTGTGCTTCGCATCCACCCCCCCCCCCTTGCCAAGGAAGGATGCAGCCTGTTGAGTTCTGCTGCCGCCAGCACGGCTTGCAGGGCCTTCCCACTGCTGCCACTTTGACTGTGTTTTTCATGAATGGCAGAAACAAGTTGGACTGGGTGGCCTCTAGAGTTGCTCCTATTATTAATATTATTGCTACTATTATTATTTCAAAGGCTGGATGGTCATCTGTTGGGAGTGATTTGATTTGTGCTTTTACTGCAGAAACAGGTTGGACTGGGTGACCTCTGTGGTCTTCCACTGAAATACTGTTAAGTTTAAGGTTAAAATTGTTCTTAATTTAAAATACTGTATAGCTCTTTCTTTCTTTTGCACTACAAACAAGGTATGTCCAGTGTGCATAGGAATTTGTTCATTTTTTCCCCAATTAGTTCACACAAATATTCTCCATCCATCTGCCACTGGCCTGGCCCATCTGTCAAATTTAAAAATTCAATGTGGCCCTTGTGTCCAAAAGTTTTTTGGGCTCCACGAGAAATTTCCTTCTAAAAGGGGTCTGCAGCTTTAAAAGTTTGAGAACCCAATCTGTTAGTCATTTTGGATTCTGATTTTGTCCCCTGGGGTATTCCTCTCGATTTGGTGTCAATTTGGTGTCAAATTTGAGATGCATGCCCTCTATTCCATTGTCCTCTGGCATTTTGTAGCACTGAATTTCACAGTTTAATCCCACCACATTTGCAGGTTAAGCATTTGAGGATACAGCCAGTTTCCCCACTGACCTATGCATGATCAAAAATATGTTGTCTCTAGGTCTTGAGGAGTGTTCTCTCAGGTAAAAAATAATTTTATTTGTATTAGCATTTTTCCACTTTCACTGGGATCATACACCTCTAACCCCCACAAACCTTTTTGCTTCTCCACTCTCTGCAGACCTTTATATGTCTATGCCAAGTTTCTATTTATACCAATTTTTCTAAACTAAATCTTGTAAACCTTCAGAAAATACACAATAATTTTGTAAAAATATCAGTTCATGATTCTCCTAACTTACCAAGCACTGGACAGTGATCACGGTAGAAGGATCCTCCTTTTGCATCCTGGACGCATTTAAGGTCTGACTAAAAGCAACAAAAACACACAAACATTAGCATTAGCTATCTGAACAAAGATTGATTTGCCCAGTGTACTACTATCTGCATTGTATTGACTTTTTCAAACAGTTATCTATGACGGCCTGATATTTGGAGTTCCTTTTAACCATATCTTCAATTATTTAGCTTTACTTTGCCTTATTCCTTACATGGATACTAAGAGGATAGATAACTATGCTTTATCATAGATCCTATGCGAATAACCTTTTCCAAGAATGTAAAAAAATCTTAATCCAAAGGGAGGTATTAAGGCTTAGTTAGTGAATTCTGTATACATATTTGTGTTCACATATGCATGCACACATTCCATTTTCTCACCAAACATGAAGAGCATTGCTCAATTCTAAGCACATCCATTCAAATTTTAGTGCAACAGCTTTTAGACAAGCTAAGTAAAGATCAATTCTATGCATGTCTATTAAAAAATATTCCCAGCAGCTTTATATATACAATGCGAAGTCCAAAGTGTTTATAATTTAAAAAGAATGTGTGTGTGTGTGTGTGTGTAATGCAAATATCATTACACTTTTGCCTCCAACCTGTGACTAGAAAACAGGATTTGTCTTCCTGACTGGTTGTGCTGTGCCTCAAGTTTACAGCAGGCTTTCTCAAGCACCACTGCCTTGGGGGGCTGGGGGGGGGGGTAGCTTGGTTTAGGCACCACTTATCTTTTTTCTTAAATATTGTTTATGATATATGACTTAACTCCAAACTAAAACTTTTATTTTGCATCCAAAAAGTGAATCCGGTACAAAGAAAATTACTGGCCCAGTTGACATAGAGAAGTCTGTAAATGGTGGAATTTCTTTCTCAACAAAAAGCATGGTATTCCTTTTCCATTATATTCAGTTCACAAAAGCCTCCGATTCAGAAATACACTCGTCCTTTGCTGCTCTAGTTACAATTCTAAATTGCAAAACTGCTTCCCCAAATACTCTTAAATTGTAACTTATTAATTATTGCTCTGTAAAAAGTCACAATAAAACTTTCAATGCATAACAATTAAGCAGCTTAATAAAAATGTTTTTTATAATATTCCAAAGTAATATAACACAATATTCTATATTTTGCCTTTACAGGATACACAAACTATTTTTTTGAAAAGTAACATCTATTGAGCACACCTAGCAACAACTGCCACTATGCTGCCCCTTCTCTAACTGTTGTTCTTGCGACGCCTAATCCAAATAGCAGCCATCTGGTGCTATCTTGAAGTAATTCCCATTGGACAAAGGTTGTTCAGCACATATTACACTAAAGTGTGAAGCGAACAGGAAGAGAAGAATCCTTTTATTCATATCATCTGGAACCGAGGAAGCAAACAAAAGGACAGGTGGTGTATGGGCCAACCATGTGCTACAGCAAAGCTCTGTTTCTTTATTACTTGGAGGAAAAAAAGGTCCAGAGCTGCAAATATGAGGTGCTGGCAGATTGCAGGATGAAAGAATAACAATTTGACCACTGAGTTATGTAATGCACTAAAATACTATTTTTTTTTTGGAGGAAAAACTAAAATAAAAGATCATCAACAAAAACTTCCTGGAGGACAGGAGTCAGAAATATACTACAGATATGAGGTATATCTGTCTGTATATACCACAGACATGTATGCAGTAGCAAAAGTATGTGTCTGAACAACAATGTACTGAAGCTGCGTTCCTGTAGTTAAAGATATGCCTTTGCCTAGGCATGTAAGACAATAACCTTTAAAAGGGATTAAAGTATGAATGAAGTCACCCTGCATTCAGATCAATGTCTTTACAAGTAATCCTCCTTTCTGTATAATTTAGTGGAAGAAAAATATATACAACACTGACATTACAGGAATTAAAATAGAACTTCAAAAACAGCATATTCGACCACAATTCTGACACTAAGCATGCACATTTTCATGTATACAAAATCAAACATTCTATGAGGTGAGAAAGGAAAGCAAGGAATGTATGAAGATTTTTTTGCACTAGCAAATCATTCTGTTTTCAAACAGGAGGAGTCAATTAGAATATATTGTTGTTCACCCAAGGACAATGGATTCCACTGAATACAAGTTCCAAAGAAAGAAATAATGATTTCACAAATGCCAAGAAGTACATTGGGCTGGTAACTATATCTTATACCAGGCATCTCCATACTGTTTACTGAATCTTGAACATGTTATATATTATTTTAATGATAAATATTCCAAAACCTCCAAGAAAAAAGAAAATACTATCTGGCTCACTTCTACTTTGAGTGATTATAGAAATTAAAGTGAAAATTTTACTGCAACTTAAAGTCTTCACAACACTAGCACACCATGCAGCCCCAAAACATCAGATTATTTTATGGTATGTAAATAAACACAGAATGAACAGATTTACATTTATTTGGAATTAGATACTTTTCAGCCATCTTTGTATCTAACCATTTCTATCCATATTGTTTACAAAAGTAAATATGCTATTTACAAAAGTACTTGTGATTAAGACTGAGACTGAAGCCAACTCTGTCTGTATGTTTAATAAACAGAGACCAGACTATTGCATATGCATGAGCTATCCCCACAGCTGTATGAACAATGAAGTTTCTAATAGCATGCAAACTGACAGAAGGATATCACAAAAGAAGATAATGGCACAGCACATGCAGTTTTACTCTTTGTACTGCTTTACTCCTTACCATGCCCTCAAAGCCAACTCTGTAGAGGTTTTTAGCCCCATTGTCCCACAAAACATATGCTGCACTGTGCGGACTTGATGCACTCCAGTCCTGGATTTCAGTTACCTAGAAAAGTGAAGAAGGAGGATTGTTTTCAAAAAGAAATTTACCTTAATGCACAGCATACTGATAAGAACACTAACATGTACTGTTTGTTGACACCATGTATAGCATACCTTTCCAAAACGTTTGAGGCAATTAACATGAAAAAGAAATAGAACAGACAATAAAACACTGCCACTAATCAAGAACAGTAAAAGAAAACACAAACACACACAAATCATAAAAGCACAGTAAAAGCTAACACAAACTGCATTAAACTTTTAATAAACTAAGGAGGCCACCTTAGAAAGGAGACTTGCAGCTAGCAGTTAAGCAGATAGTTCTGAGTTAGGACTTAAAAGGTGCAGTCATCAAAAGGCTTCTCCTCTAGTCCCAATGACAGCATGATGGAAAATCTGGTGTGAATTGTATTCTGATTTATAATCAAAGTAATTTTAAAATAAGTTTCACTTTTACAACAAGATGAATTACAGGTCAATCATATCTGGAAATTTTAATAATTCCAACAGACCTCGCCTTTCCTAGGATATCTATCTCTGTGACTGAAATACTCAAATACACTAAAAAAAATTGACTTTGAGGGGTAAGAATCAAGAATGCTTTAAGGAGGCCAGCAACCATGGAGCAGTAGCTCCATATCCTCAAGCTGCAGAAGCTGAAATATATTAATTATTAAGAGCACAAAATGGTACACTGATTACATTCATTTTCTGTTTTGCTCTAAACATGACACAAGCGGGTATTGATATAAGCAGTTTAATTTGAATAAATGTACTGAAAGTTAACAAAAAGCGAACTACCAAATACTCAGTCCCAATTTCTTTTTTCAGTTATAATAATAAGTTTTATTTCTTGCCTGCCTCTCCTTATGGCTCGAGGCAGGTTACAGCATTACTAAAATATAAACAAACACATAATTTTAAAACACTCCATAAAATACACACATTAAAACATATCTCAATAAATTACAGATTAAAAAACACAAAACAAAAACAAGGCATACAGTGGAGTTTAAAATTCACAATTAAAACTGTCTAGGTAGGCCTGCTGGAAGAGATAGGTAATAATAGTTGTGCTAGTCAATACTAAAAATGAATCATATCAAAGCAAAGGATCCCAATATGGCCCTTCTTTCAGAGGTATGCAAGGACCATGGCAGATCAATGTAAATCCCTTACATATATCAGAATTCATCTGTTATCTATAAGCCACTTAAGATGAACTAAAAAAAATAAACCTGTATTTTCACCCATCATCTTTAGTTTATGCCTAACCAAATAATTATTTATCAAAGACATAGGTGCTCTAATCTTACCTTTCCCCTACGTCCATTGCCACCATCCTGGTCTTCCCACTGCCAATCAACTCCTCGCACCACCCTGGCACCAGTGAAGATTCCCCTTGCAGTGATTTTCTTTGATTTGCGGCGGGATTCCAGTAGTACCCTAAAATTTAATATTATGTTTTTAGGTTTTTAAAGGCCACATCCAAAATAAATTTAACATGATATTTTATTTTCAAAAATTAAGACAGACTGTTCTAACAGTTCTTTGAAAAGCCACTTACATCTCAATTTATTGACCATCTTAGCATTTTGATTCTTGGTAGGACTTTGTTTCCCACTCACAAAACTGATGACACGGGCATTTTTTGTTACAGTGTGCATGTAAAAATTACCTTTCACTTCCTGGGGTTGTTATTCTATAAAAGCGATGTCTCAGGTGATGCTTATCCCCATGATAACATACTGTACACAAGTCATAATTTGTGCATTCTGCACATTTCCACCGGATGCCAATTATTGGTTGTTGGCGACAAGTATCACACATTGTCCCATCATGCTTAATTCCTGTGGAAAAGAGTATTATTAGTACTTTGGTATATTTATTTGTATGTATATACAAAAAAGGAATACTTATGTGCACAACGTGATGTCTCAAATATCCTATTCATTTTAGAAGCAGATACTTGCACTACTTTATGCCCATTCTCCTACTATGACACATTGTTTGTACTACATACAAGTTCAGTCAATAAACTGTACAATGTTTTTAAGGATAGGTAGATCTACTAATGTTAGTAATTTGGCAAATGTCATACATCTGAACTTAATCAGTAAAAAAGTATAGGAATTCAGTATTACCCACTGTAAAGCTATGGACAAAGCAGGCAGATGCTTACCAGCTGGTGTCTCATGCACTGTTCTCCATTCAGCTTCAATTAATATTGATACAGTAATTCAATGGTAATACTGTTGACCTAGATCCAATTATTAGTCTCAATGAGAGTCCCCATAATTATTCAAATTTGTTGGGAGTTTACTACAATTTTCCAGTCTTATAACAATATCAACAGACTTAACACATATTTCTTCTCAACAAAACTAAAACAGGTTATGTTCTACACAAATATCTTAGAAGCTTTTTTGAATAGCCAAACTGAAATATTTTATTGGTACAGCACATTTAGACTTCAATCACACATCTACATGAAAGCACTGTTCACTGAACCGAATGGGCTTAGTCCTAAATAGAGTTGCAATTTTTTTGCTTTGAAAAATCACCAAACTATACAGAACTGCATCTGGACATTATTTCTTATACTTGGACACATAATAATTCAACAGATTAATTTTCTTTGAATTCTTGATTTTTACAAGATAAACTATGAATAAAATAAAGGTCGTTAACATATGCAATATCAATATCCTGTTGTATGCATATTCAGAATTTTTTTAATTTCCAATCTCACGGATTGAGTATTAACATTAATTATACTGCTAATTAATTTCATGTAAGAATATAGTTTTAGAAATACTGCATAGTAAAATAAAATATTCACATAAATCTTTTGTTTAAATATTTGTTTGCCACTAACCATAATCACTCATAGTGCTGATGATGTTAGGTAGTATGTGTGGATCAAGATCCTTAAAGGAATGCATAGATGTATGTTTTTCCAATTTTACACGAGCATCATGGAGTTTAGCAATATCCCATAAAGGGGACATTCTGATACTGACACTGATATTCCTCAGTGTTAAAAGCCAGTCATAAGAACATTGTCTTAGAAAATTTACTAGCTCAGTGGGAATTTCTAAGTTGGATCTCTCTTATCCAAAGTGCTTAGAACTAGCAATCCTTTGAATTTTGGAATATTTGCATAAACATAATGAAATATCTTGGAGATGGGCCCAAAGTCTAAACATGAAATCAATTTATTTCACATGCATACACATGGACTGAAGGTACTGCCATTTTATACACAATATCTTTAATTATTTTGTGCATCAAAAAACAAGAGTGTCATTATTATTTGTTTATTATTTGTTGAGACTCAGCGTCTGTCTCATGCACCTACTACTAGTAGTAGAAGGAAACGTAGGTTAGAGAATGATGAAGCTCAGCAGCAGCTGAAAAGGATAAGAGACTTGTTTCTAGAGACGACAGATGAGGAGGATTTTGTGGGTTTTACTCGCGAGGAAATGGAGCTGGAAGATTACAGAGGTGTAAAGAGAGTAGCCAGCAGCTCAAACAGTGATGTGGGATCTGTTGCTAAACGCCTGAGAGATGTTGCAGACTGTGGGGAGTTTGACAGCGAAGAGGAAGAGCTGGACTGGACTAAAGTCCAGGAAGTAATGGATGTAATTAACGCTCCCACGTCTAGTGATGAATTCCAGGGTTTTGATAATAACTGGGTTGGAGATAACTCTTTGCAGGATGGAACTCGAAGTGCTGACTGGCAGCAATGGCGTGGTGTGGATTCACCTGAGGAATTGGACCCAGCTGATGGCAGTTCCAGCGACTCGGATGAGATTTAAGCAGCAGCTTGGGGACAGTCTAATCGCAGAGTTCAAGGTGTCGCATGCCGTGTGCCTTGTGTGTAACTCCTGCCCTGAGTTCTTGTTACAGCTTCGTGTCTCCTGATCGTGTGAACAACCCTGCTGGTTCCAGACTCGTGAGTCTTCCCTGTTTTGACCTTCGGATTGCCTGACTACGCCTCTGCTTTATCCTGGAAACTTCGTTGGACCGCTCTTCATGCAAACTGTTGTTTGCTGTTCTGTTTGTCTTCAATTCGGACTAAAGTTTCCCTGCTGAAGTTAAGCTGCCTGCTTCTGTTTTGAACTGACTTTCCTTTTGTCAGCCGTGGCTGACTGAGACCAGTTTGTTTACATTTCTGCTGACTGCAAGCCTCCTTTGTTTATCACTCTGAATTGAAGAGTTTCCTTTTGTTTTGTTAATGGACATTAAACACCTACTTTAACTCCATCGGTGCCGTGTGTGTTGCTGACTGCTCTGGGTCTTGACATTATTATTTACTCATTTTTCTCTCGCTTTTCTTCCATGGGTGGGACTCAAAGCGGCGAACAAATCAAAACCGACAGAAATTACGTGACATGCAATAACTGATAAACACATAACACAATTACATATGCCATAGACAACAAAGTTAATAAATACAACATATTCTGCAAAAAATTCCTTGGGCCTCAGGCCACTGAGGCCGTCCATAAAAATTATATTAAAAATCTTAAGGCACCGTATATTTAATGATCTCAGACATCCATATGGACAATTTTGGATTTATGCATAAGGGATGCTCAACCTGTAAAAATGCTTATTTATTTATTTCTTTGTTTATGTTGTCAAAAATAAACAAAGAAATAAATTATGTTATTTGTGGTCCTGATGCTCATCCCTGACTTCCTTACCAATGTCCCTTCATCTGCTGCTCTGGAAGACCATTTAGAGGTCCTCGACTCAGATTTAGCCATAGTTACACCACATCACAACTTAAAATGTAGACAGTCTCACTCTCTCCTGCATGATTTTTTTTACAATGAGAAATCAACAAAGCTTTGAAAATTAGTGTGATATAGTCTGGAACTTTTAATCGGCTCAATAAGGTGTCATCTACACAAGAGGTTGCCATAAGTCAAGATTTGACTTAAAGGCATGCTATAGAATCTGGATTTTGTTATAGTTTATTAATTGTTTACCACACTGTAAGTACAGAGATATTACAATCATTATTTCTCTGTTATAATAGGAGTATTTGGCATCAAAATTTCCTTGTGGTTTTAGAAGGACAACATTAGGTGTTGTATCACTTGGTGTTTCAAACAATGTAACATGCACCTTCTTTAAGCATAATTTTTCCAAAATGGCCAGGAAATTAAAAATAACACAAATAAGTAATGCAATGAGTCACCAGAATGAAAAAAGGCTCTCAAATCCTACCCTCTTTTTCTCAAGTAGTAAAACATTTCCAAAAGTTGCTCAAGTCATTCCTACTAAGCCAATGCATTCCTACAGTTACAGGAAAGATTAATGTAACAGCAGGAAACTTATTTTAATGCATTTTATGCAGTCCAAGGCTGCAATACAATGCTCATAAAGCCCTATAGAATACCAAGAGGGTCTTCTTTTGTATGAGGTTGGATTTGACTTCATAGCATCTGGGAGAAATTAACCCAATTATGCAGCCCTCCAGTTGCTGCTGGACTGCTGACCAGCATAGTCAATGAAGAAGAATGCTGGGAACTGCAATACAACATTTGGAGAGTCACATAATACATTCACCAATATACCAGGAAAGAAGTGTTCTGCCCCCAACAATTTATCCACAAACATGTTCTTCAAATGCTAGATTTTTATATCTACCTTTCTCTAAATATCAAGGTGATTTCTCTTTAAAAAATACAAACACTAAGGGTGAATTTACAATGTAGAATGAATGCAGTTTGATACCACTTTAACTACTATGGCTCAATGCTATAAAATCCTGGTATTTGGAGATACCAGCTCTTTTTGGCTAAGAAAGCTAAAAAAAACGTGTAAAACCATAACTTTCATAATGCCATAGCATTGAAACAAGACAGTCCAAGAAATATAAAACTGCATTAATTTTATAGCATAATGCACCCTCATCCCTACTCTTATACTAAAGCCAAACACCCCATCTACACTGACCATTTAATGCAGTTTGAAGCTAGCTTCAAACCATGGTGGTCAATCAACAAACCCACACAAAAGCATGTGAAACAAAGCCCTTAACGTGCATCCATGCTCTATAATTGTGTAATCGCCACCCAGGCCTCAAACTGGTTCCAAGATGATCTATGTAATCATCTACACAGTGAACCACTTTCTTCAACACCTGTTAGAAACTGTAATCAGTGTAGATATTTTCTAAATTCCTCCAAAGCTCCAATTTTATTCAAACTCACTTATCTGGGAGCTGATTTCAACGAGGCTCAGGGTGCACCTACACTGTGGAATTCATGCAGAATGACACTGCTGTGGCTCAATGCTATGGAATCACATGTGTTCCCGTTTGGTGACACAACAGCACTATATGGCAGATAATGTTAAAGAGGTTATAAAATCAAACTACAAACCCCATGATTCCATTGTATGGACCCATGCTGATGAAACTGGGGCCAAACAGCATGAGTTCTACATGCAGGGATGTTTTGGATTATTGCCCTATCATCTCCTTTTTCTTCCAGCTCTCATGGGCCCGCCTCTCTGCTGACCTCTCTGTGGCCTGTCTCTGTCCCCAGCTTCCATATTCACACCTCTGCCTCAGGGAAACACTGAACAGCAACACGGGGCCCCCAGGGCAACTGGGCAAGCCCTTGGCAAGGAGGATTGCCCTGTAGTCGCCTGGCTGTCTGGAGAGGAGCCCAGCCAGATGCCACACCAATCATAGGAGTGGGAAAAAAGCCCCATGCAGGAGTGGGCCCATTGTTGTTACTGTGTGCCTTCAAGTAACTCCAGAGGGGAAATCCTTGGGGTTTTCTTGGCAACATTTTTTTCCAGAAAGGGTTTGCACTTGCCCTTCTCTGTGGCTAAGAAAATAGGACTTGCCCAATGTCAACCAAGGCTGAGCAGGTTCACAGGGGCATCAAGGTTGTAAAATTCAGGCCATTTGACACCACTTGAACTGCCATGTCCCAATACAGGCAGCCCTCAAGTTACAAATGAGATAGGCTCTGTCCCTGTGAGAATTGGATATTGAAAAATTTGGCTTGTTGTGGAAACAAGGATTAGCGAGAAAGCTTCAGTGGAGACACCTCTTCCATATGATAACTCTTTCAGGAGTGAATTTCTCTTCCGAGGGGTAGATTTCTCTCACTTCCTGCTATGTCACCCCCATTCTTAACTAGGTGTCAGATGTAAGTCGGATGTTTGTAACTTGGGGACTGCCGGTATTATGGACTCCTGGGAGTTGCGTTTTGGTGAGGCACCTGCACATTTTTAGTAGAGAAGGCGAAAGATACAGTTCCCATGATTCTATAGAAGGTGTCATGTGGCAGAAATTCCACAGGTTAGATCAGTGGTTCCCAACCTGTGTTCCATGGACCACCAGTGGTCCACAAGAACGAAAATATGGTCCATGGCCTCACTGTTACTACACCGTTGCCTCAAAACCACACAGCAACAAGAGCGATTGATCTCGCAAAACCCTCTTATGATGCTGAGGCAACAGAGATGTCGGGAGGGGAGAGGCTGATGACCCATGAAATATTACTACTCCCTCCTTCTCACATCGGCTCTAGATTATTAAATATGGCTTTGTGTGGGCAAGCAGATGGCGACTACTAAGTGGCATATGTTCTGCATCAGAAACTAGATCTGATGTGGTCTATCCAATGCAAATTTCTGAATCAGCACCCCAAATAACCAAATCAAATCTAAAATTGACCACACAGCAACAAGAGCGACTGGTCTCGCAAAACCCTCTTATGATGCTGAGGCAACAGAGATGTTGGGAGGGGAGAGGCTGATGACCCACGAAATATTACTACTCTGTCCCTCCTTCCTACATCAGCTCTAGATTATTAAATATGGTTTTGTATGGGCAAGCAGATGGCAAATATTAGGTGGCATATGTTCTGTATCAGAAACTAGAGCTGATGTCGTCTATCCAATGCAAATTTCTGAATCAGCACCCTAAATAACCAAATTTAAAATTGACCACAAACTGATTTGTAACCCTTTTGGTAGAAATGTTGGAGAGTGATCCCTGGTCAAGTGGTCCCTGGTCAAAGTTGGTCCCCGGTCAAAGAGGTCCCTGGTCAAAGTGGCCCCTGGACAAAGTGGCATATGTTCTGTATCAGAAACTAGAGCTGATGTGGTCTATCCAATGCAAATTTCTGAATCAGCACCCCAAATAACCAAACCAAATTTAAAATTGACCACAAACCGATTTGTAACCCTTTTGGTAGAAATGTTGGAGAGTGATTCCTAGTCGAGTGGTCCTTGGTCAAATAGGTTCCTGGTCAAAGTGACCCCCGGTCAAAGAGGTCCCTAGTCAAAGAGGTCCCTGGTCAAAGCTGGTCCCTAGTCAAAGTGGCCCCTGGTCAATTAGGTCCCTGGTCAATGAGGTCCCTGGGTCAAAGAGGTCCCTGGTCAAAGTGGTCCCTGGTCAAAGAGGTCCCTGGGTCAAAGAAGTCCCTGGTCAAAGTGGTCCCTAAGTCAAAGAGGTCCCTGGTCAAAGACGTCCCTGGTCAATGAGGTCCCTGGTCAATGAGGTCCCCGGGTCAAAGTGGTCCCTGTCAAAGAGGTCCTTGGTCAAAGAGGTCCCTGGTCAAAGTTGGTCCCTGGTCAATGAGGTCCCTGTTCAAAAAAAGGTTGGGAACCACTGGGGTAGATACACCCACAGTCCAACAACACTCACACCATTATCATGATCATTATTATGTTTATTTATATGATGCTTTCCTCCCTTAAAAGGGGATATAAAGTGGCAAAAACAGTAAAAACAATATGATGTACAATTCAAAACCTACAGCATATAAACCAAGCATGGGCCAACTTGGGCCCTCCAAGTGTTTTGGACTTCAACTCCCACCATTCCTAACAGCCTCAGGCCCTTTCCTTTTCCCCCTCAGCCACTTAAGCGGCTGAGGGGGAAAAGGAAGGGGCCTGAGCCTGTTAGGAATGGTGGGAGTTGAAGTCCAAAACACCTGGAGGGCCCAAGTTGGCCCATGCCTGCTCTTAGTGTGATAAGGTGTCCACAGAATCCTAGCTTGCCGTGGGAGGAGATTCAAGGGGCGGCGCTAGGAGCGTTAACGCGCGATGGGAGCGCCCTAAACCCTCCCCGGCCTGTCCCGGTCCCCGCCTCACCGGTGGGCGCGCTGTCGAGGATGCGGAGGTCGTAGGCCCCCGAGCAGCGGTAGTTGGCGGCCGTGCCGTTGTCCCAGACCACCACCACCTCCTCGGGGCTCTCGAAGCTGCGGACGGTGCCGACGTGTCCCTCGCCGCCGTCCTGCTTGCCCCACTTCCAGTCGGGGCCCCTCACCACACGGGCCCCGACGCCCTCCACCATCACCCGGTTGTTCCGCGAGTTGCTCATCCTCTGGGCGGCGGGCGGGGAAAGGAAACGCCGGCGCAACAAAGACCAGGAGCTCGAGTTGGAGCCGGGCCCGCCGGTCTCCTCGGCTTGTGGGGAAGAGCCGGGGCCTCCGCGTGCACACCGCGGCGCTTCTTTCTCTCACACACACACGGAGACACCCCTCTCCCGCAATCCCAAGTGGTCTCTTCCTACTTGGGGAGACCCTTACTCGGAGCCGTCCAAATTCCAAATGCGGGGGGAGGGGGGAGAGTGTCTGCTGCTACATCCGGGCCCCGCAGCGACAGGCGCCTTTCGAGTGGAGGAAGGGCCGTGGAACTTTCTGCGCATGTTCCGATTCTGTCATTTCACCCGAGAATGGAGAGGGGAGAGCGGAGGGAGCGGTCTATTCAGAACAAAGAGCGACGTTCCGTAGCGACACCTAGGGGGCCGGGATGGTTATTGCACCTGACACGGCAAAAAGTGTCTTAAATGCTAATGCATTTAATACAGTGGTTCTCAATCTGTGGGTCCCAGATGTTGTGGCCTTCAACTCCCAGAAATCCTAACAGCTAGTAAACTGGATGGGATTTCTGGGAGTTGTAGGCCAAAACACCTGGGGACCCACAGGTTGAGAACAACTGATTTAATACAAAGCACACCTTGCAAAATTTCAACTCCCAGGATTCCATCACATTGAGTCGTAGCCGTTAACGTGGTGTCCAACTGCATTCATTCTATGGTGTAGATCAGGTCCTCAAACTTGGTCCAAGGACCAAGGCAGAGACATCCCCAGCTCATCCCCTGTTTGGGTATCAGCCAGCACGTCAACGACTTAAAGCTAGAAATAGTTTTCTAAGATCTACAGAGACACTCGCTGGAACACCTCAGCAAGCGAGAGTCCAAAAGTGGCAGGCTCAAACCCAGAACCTCAACCAATGGCTGATACCAAATGAGAGACTCCCCTTTCCTGGGCACACAGAAGACTGGGCAACTTGGAAGGTGCTGAACAGACTGCGCTCTGGCACCACGTGATGCAGAGCCAACCTTCAGAAATGGGGCTACAAAGTGGAATCCACGACATGCGAGTGTGGAGAAGAGCAAACCACAGACCACCTGCTGCAATGCAACCTGAGCCCTGCCACATGCACAATGGAGGACCTTCTTGCAGCAACACCAGAAGCACTCCAAGTGGCCAGATACTGGTCAAAGGACATTTAATCAACTACCAAACTCACAAATTTTGTATTTTGTCTGTTTGTTTGCTTTGTTCTGTTAGAAATGTAATATAATCGACTGGTTGCCCTGACATGACAAATAAATAGGTCCTCAAACTAAGGCCCGGGGGCCGGATACGGCCCTCCAAGGTCATTTACCCAGTCCTTGCTCAGGGTCAATCAAAATCTGAAATGACTTGAAAGCACACAACAACAACAATCTTATCTCATCAGCCCGGTGGCGCAGTGGGTTAAACTCCTGTGCCGGCAGGACTAAAGACTGACAGGTGACAGGTTCGAATCCAGGGAGAGGCGGATGAGCTCCCTCTATCAGCTTCAGCTCCTCATGCGGGGACATGAGTGAAGCCTCCCACAAGGATAATAAAAAGTAAAACATCAAATCATCCAGGCGTCCCATGGGCAACGTCCTTGCAGACAGCCAATTCTCTCACACCAGAAGCGACTTGCAGTTTCTCAAGTTGCTCCTGACACAACAAAAAAAGAAGAGGCCAAAAGCAGGCCCACACTTTCCACTGAAATACTAATAAGTTTATATTTCTTAAAATTGTTCTTCATTTTAATTATTGTATTGCTTTTAAGTGTTTTTTGCACTACAAATAAGATATGTACAGTGTGCATAGGAATTCACTCATGCTTTTTTCAAATTATAATCCAGCCCTCCAACAGTTTGAGAGACTGTGACCTGGCCCTCTGTTTAAAACGTTTGAGGACCCCTGGTGTAGATGCATCCTTTGTTGTAGGGTACAGTGGAATTACTTAAACCTGCATGAAAACCCACCAGGAACTTCAATCATGGATCCCCAGTGGGTTTTGTCATCGAGGGCATCCCAGACCTCTGCCTTCAAGCTGAACTGACCAGCCGCAGGGAATTCCGCAGTTCCTGGATGCCCAGTTGGGCCAAAACTGATTAAATGTGGCCCAGCAGCAGGCTTTTTACAGCCTTATGCTCCCTCCTTTCACTTCTTTCCCCAGCCCAAACAATGTATCACATATACCTAAATAAAGACTAATTGAATTGTAACCTCTACCTCTCCAGGATGATACTTTGTGTCCCTTTCCTGACTCAACTGTTTCAATGCATGAAATAACTTTTTCCAGGCCACAGGAGACTGCAGGCCTGCCTTGGATGCCTTCCAGGCGTCCCAGGGAGGCCGACTCTGCGTTCCTTCAAACCGCGGATACAGAAACCCCTTGGGGGCCCGTATCCACGAGTTGACGGATCAACTCCATTTTGGTGCCATATTTTTCCTAGCCAAATTCTAACCCTATCTGCTATCTCGCTTTTTGCATTTTTGCATTTTGGGCTCCTATGCTCGGGGAATAACCTTTGGTTTATTAAGAATATTTTAAAGGAAAACAGCTGATTGTCAAAATCTGAGCCTCGCTGCTACTGCGCTGACGCTACCATCGCTGCTTCTTGGTCCTTCTGGAGCCCCCTGCCCTGGAGACTTGATGCGGTTACCCCATGGGGCTTTCAGGGAGCAGACCAGTCTCCAGGCTCCAGCCTGGACCTCAGCGCTGCAGGGCTCCATATTTTGGCTCAGTGGAAATCCTCAGACTCCTTTTTGTGACTTTTGGACTTTCTGCCACAATTTTTGGACTTCTTTTCCCTTCATGAACTGTTTTCATCCATGAATCTTCCCAAAATGAACTATGAATTCATACTGTGCCATGATCAAGGCGTTATCAATTGCTCTATTGGGAGGGGTGGGGGGGATGCCTGGATATGATTTTTATCGTGATTACTGTATTTCCATATTTCCCTTCATGTATTTGACCTATCCCTGACCCTTTTGCCCCCTTCCCATCTCCTTGAGGAAAAATGTATAAGGAAGTTACCCTGCCTCTGAAGGGACAATTAGCGATTGTGGAAACCCTTATCTTATAACATTTATTGCATGGGAAAATAACAAAGAATTATCTCCTTGACCTCAGAGGCAGACCATCAAGGGGATAATCACTTGGCAGACTTTTAATCGCATTACAATAGTTCGGAAAAAAGACCTTCGGAAAGTCCTTTTCCTCCTGACCCATTTTCTTTCAAGCCTTTCCATTAAAGACATTCACCAAAGTCTCCCCCTTTGTGCCCCTATCTGACCGCAAGAGGAAAACTCAGATTAAGTGATTAATGCTTATCTCAGACCCATCACAAGACAATAGATTGGCTTCTCTTGAAGGCCGTTCCGGACTCGATAAGCCCCCTGGACATTTCCTGTGACTTCATAATCCATTCAAGAATGCATTGTATTCCTTCATCCCGCCTCCCCCTCTTCTGATTCGCTGGAACGCCAAGGTGGCAGGAGTCTCCTGATTGGCTCTGGCTCACCGCAGAAGCCCTGTGATTGGCTCAGACATGTGGGAGATGGCCAAGCCTCCTCCCAGCTGTTTTTGCGCCAGCCAATCACCTCCAAGCCGGGCAGGAGGCGGGGAGTGGGAGATTTGAAACATACAACTCTGTATTTTCTATAAAAATGGCATTTATTTCTGTGCATGCATGTTTAGCTTGGTGAATGATTGCTGCTTTGCATCCTTTTCAGCTGAATCACTAATAAACATCTCGTCGCTTTCTTCAACATTGGTGAGATTCTTTTTGGGAAACTAGGGGAAATAAAATTACTTAAAATTAGGCTTCTTTTTGCTCACCAACGTAGCCATCCCTCTTTGGTGGGGCCGCAGGGTCTCTCCTCCTGGGGCAGACCCTTCTAAAGTTCCTATCGACTTCAATTTGACATGTCCTTATGTCAGATTACAGCAAAAATTCCTACTTTTTATTTTCACACTAGCTGTATCCGCCACGCGTTCTGTGGCCAACCTTCCCTCCTTCTTTCTCTCCTTTATACTTTCTCTCCATGCTTCCCTCCCTCTTTCATACTTTCCTTCCTTCCCTTTTTTTCTTTCCTTCTCTCCTTCCTTCTGTCCTTCGGTGATAGTATGATAGCTGGGTCTGGAAGCTCCGAGCGTTATGCACATTCCACAAAGACGGTTGTGAATAAGGGAAGGGGGGAATGGCACACTGAGGGTGGGAATATACTTCATAGTTGCATTTGGTGGAAGGATAGAAAGGAGGGGAGGGTTAGGATAAGGTTTGGGGTAAGTTTTGGGTTAGGGTTAGGAACCCTATTACCCGTCCTTCTCTACCTCTTTCCTTCCTTCTACTCACTTTTTCTTTCTCTCCTTTCTTCCTTCTCTACCTATTCTTGGACTGTAACTCCCAGCAATCCTCCTGGTCGATCTGTCTACCTACTGTCTATCTCTATCTAATCTATATATCTTATCTATCTGGAGGATTGCTGGGAGTTGCAATCCAGGAATAGGAAATAGGAAGTATTTAGGATTGGGATGCTCTCAAATCCAAGGAGAAGCAAGCTTGCAGCTTGGAAGCAATGCATTTGGAGCATTGTCCTTACTTCAGGAAATAAAGTCCGACTGCTCACTGGAGAGAAGGCCACATAATAAGAAGACAGGTAAGCTTGGAGAAGATAATGATGCTGGGGAAAATGGAAGAAAAAAGGAAGAGGGGCCAACCACGGGCAAGTTGAATGGATGGTACCCTTGAAGTGACTGGCTTGACTGAAGGAGCTGGGAGTGGTGATGGCCGACAAGGAGCTCTGGCGTGGGTTGATCCATGAGGTCATGACAAGTCAGAAGCAACTGAACAAATAAACAACAACAACCTCCCCTAAAGGACTGGTCTAGGGGATGCTGGGAGCTGTTGTTTTTGTGCATGCACTGTATTGTCATTTAGCTTTTTGGGATTTTAAAGACCTTTCTGTTGTATTTTGGGATGGGTTTATGAGTGATGGTCATAAGTCACAGCATTGCTGTGGCCCAGTCTGCATATATGTGTTTTATATGTGTATATATGTGTATGTATATATATTTGTGCATATATATGGTTTTGCGCATGCCTTGTAATTTTTAATATTTTTTTTGCTTTTTAAGTCTCTTCTGCTGTGTTTTGCAGTGTTTTTATGACTGATGGTCATTCGTTGGCCTGATAAGTGTATTGTGTCCAAATTTGGTGTCAATTCACCCAGTGGTTTTTGAGTTATGTTAATCCCACAAACGAACATTACATTTTTATTTATATAGATTCAGTATTCAGTTTTTAATAACTAAAA